TTTTTTTTTTCTTTTTTTTTTTGTTGTATATTTTATTATTTTTTTATCCTTTTTTTTTTTTTTGCGTTTATTATTCTTTGGGTTTCGTTCTCTTTTTTTTGTATTTACTTGCTTTTCTTTGAAGTTTGTATCCTATCTTCCTAGTTTATTGTGTTGATGGGGTCGGTTTCTGGAGAGGGGGATGGGGAGGTGGGGGTGTTTGACGGGGGGGAGAGGAGTTGGCGGAGCATGGTGAGGTCGCTGATGTGCACGATCAGGGGGTTGTCCGGAGGGCCGGCCCCTTGGCCGAGTAGATGCCGCGGACCGCGGCGGAACGGGTGGCGTCGGCGCCGAGGCCGTAAACGGTTTCGGTGGGGAAGGCAACGGGGACGTCGGTGGTGCGCAGGAGGTGGGCTGCTTCTTGGAGAGGGTCCAGCACGGCGTCGTCGGTGGCTGTCACCTCCCATGTGGTGAGGTCTGGTGTGCCGTCTGGGCTGGAGGACGCCCACCGGCCGAGGGCCGAGTCGTCTTTGCCGGCGAGCGGCACTTTGAGAATCCGGGTTTCCATGGCCGGGCTGTGGATAGACCGGGGGTGTGTAAGTGCTGCGGCTGTGATCTGCCCGAATCGGGTGCGACTGAATCGAAACGGAAGAAGACTCCTAGATGCAGCGGTCCAGCGCGCAGAAAAACTAAGCAAGGAGATCCCCGCCAACTTGAATGCCCTTTTACGGCTAGACTTTGAAGGAAAGGATTTTTGAGGATTTCCGTTTTAGGTAGCGTTGAGTGAAAAGACCTGAAAGATGCGATTCTAGGTGTAAGTTGTTGAGTCACCGGAGAAATTTTTACGCACCCCAAGATCCATCAGATCTTTCAACATCACATCGCACTCCCTGATTTTTCAGTCATGCACACCATCTCACAACAACACCTAACCTCAAAAAAAAATTCACGATTCATAAATCGATGGGATATACGCATCCATTTCCGTAAAGCAAAGTAAGGTCAGTAACCCGCCGCTAATAAAATGCCGAATCCGCCTCTGTCCCAACGCCATGCTGGCTGCCCATGCTGTATCATCCGATGTGCTCTCCATACCAAGAAAAAGAGAAAGAGGTCTCCTCAAATCACATAATTTACATCGTGGCCATAAGAAACCCACGTCGCATCATATCCATCCATCTCCAGGCTCATCAACCAGCATAAGCCTCGCTCCCCCTCCGCCCCGCTCTCACCGGCAACGCAGAAACATACGCATTCGTTGCAGTCAACTGCTCCGAGAAGCTCGCGAGCAACCGCATCACCTCGTCTCGCACCTGCTCGCGACCTGCGGCGCCCTGCATGACCCTCGCCGACGGCGGCGCCGGCACGCCCCCGTTCAAATCCGCGTGATCCGCCCCCGAGCCGTTCATCGCGGCAACCCTCGGGTGCTGCAGCTGCGTGCTGTTGATGCTCGCGCCCGACTGTGACCGCGCCCTGGTCCGCGCCCGGCTGGGTCTGTCCGATACGCTCATGGGCGTCGACGTGCCCATGGTGAGGTACTCCGACTCGTACCCGCTCGTCGAGTAGCTGTCGTCGTCGTAGCTAGTTGAGCGCGAGTGGGATACCGACTGTGACCCGCTGCGGACGCTGCCAGGAAATAAGTCAGGAGGCATTGATTGTGTGTCATCAGTACTGGCCCTCGCCAAACGGGCAAAATCGCTGTCGTCCGAAATGAAGATGGAGGGCTCGCGGATTCCTAGTTGGGTCGGTTGGTAAAGGGAGGCGTGGCGCTCGAGATCGAAAGGGTTCGCGCCACCGATATCTGAGCCTGCCACCGAAGCGACATCCGAGTTGGCGGTCGATGGCCGGGGCGGCTCGGGCATCACTAGACCCTCGTCGAGATCAATAAGGCTGCCTACTGAGGCACGGTTGTCCGGAAGAGGTTGAGGCGGCGCGGGATCATATGGTTCAGGTTGGAAACCGTTCGGGTCTTCTGTGGGGTGAAAAATCAGAGGACGGGGGTTCGAGTCGGTCCGCTGCTCGTGGAACGGGAAACGGGACATTTCCGGGTTGGCGGATGCTGGGGGAGCCATGGTTGGGAACTTCCATTCTTGGGTGCGGCGGTTGGGGTTCAAGTCGGCGGGATCGCTCAGAGGTGCCTTATTAAAGTCCGTGACGTCTTCGTTCTCGGAGTCGCTTGGGACGCGCATGCCGGCCCGAATAGTTGCCATGTCGACAAATTGGGATAAGTCACCACCATCGTGAAGGGAGGCATCAAGGTCAATGAGCGACTCCCGGAGCGTCGAGTGAAGCGAGTCATCTCGCAGGGGTAGATCCGACGTGGTGGTCATAGGAGGGGGGGGTGCTCTGCCGTAGTATGCGCGCGAATTGTCCTCGTAATTGGAGATGGTGTTGGGGTCGAACACCTTCTCAAGGGGCACCGTTTTGGGTTGGAGTTGCGGTGGAAGCCGGCGGCGCTGCTTGGGTTTCGGGGGACGAGAAGTTTGTTCGCTGAGCTCAAAGTCGACGTTGGAACCGTACACGTCAAAAACCGCCCGGGCATCCGTGTCCATAAGCTGGCGGTCAAAGTCGACGGTGGTGCTGAAGTTCCACTCGTCGCTAGGCAAGGTCGAGGATTCATAATCCGACGGTCCCATCACACCGACTGGAGCGAACAACGACTTTCTGACACCGCCCTGGCCCTCCCATAGCTTGTACGCCTTGACGAGGTTGGCGAGCGAGGCGGTCGGATACTGTTCGCTGGTGCCAAAGATGAAAGGGTGCCGCTGGATTTCCTGGATGCTTGGCCGCTTGGCCGGGTCTTCAACAAGGCAGAAAGCCACCAGGTCCTTGATCTGATCGGAGTAATCGCCCTCCAAACGTGGAGCGTGATGTTTGATGTATTGTCCCAGCTGATGAACGTTGAAGCCCGCCATGACGTTGGGAGGGAGACCCGAGGCCAATTCGTACACCAACGAGCCAAAGGCCCAGATATCGACTGGCGTGCTGTAGGAGGGAACAGGGTCAAAGAGCTCTGGAGCCATCCAGTTCAGGGTCCCGATGAAGGTGGTCCGTTTATCGACTTTAGATTCGACGATCCCGGCCACGCCAAAATCGCAGAGCTGAACGCTGCCCGCCTCGGTGACCAAGACGTTGGCGCACTTGATGTCTCGGTGGATGATGCCTTCTTTGTGGACCCAGTAGATGGCTTCTGCCACCTCTCGCACGATGGGGATGATCCATTTGTCCTGCAATCCCCCGGGCGCTGTGGGCTTCATGAGGGTCGCGACACTTCCTCCGGCGCAGTACTCGGTGACCATCCACATGGCCTGACCGACCGGCAAAGCGTCAAGATTGAGGTTGATATTCCTTGCGCCACTCTCGCTGAGCTTCTTGAGCGTCGAGAATTCGTGCATGAACTCGCTGTAGGTGTCAGCGAGTTTCGGGTTCAGGGTGTCGCCTTCTTCGATGTTGATGATTTTGACGGCGACGAGCGCTTTCGTGTTGACGTCGGTGGCCTTGTAGACTCGACCGTAATTCCCCTTGCCGATTAACTCTTGGAGTTGGTAGGGCGGAACATCCTTCCCCGCCCTGTTGCAATCCTCCTCCACAATTGCCTGCATTTTTTTCGCATCTTCAATCGCCTTGTGTTTGCTGGTAGGAAAGTCCGCATTTCGGACCTGCAGGTTGGTACTGGCCATGGCGATGGGCGAGGCTCGGTCTGAGGACCGAGCTAGTTGTGGGGAGAGGGTTGGTTGGTGCTGTCACGCACCCTTTTGTTCCCGGCAAGCTGGTTCGACCGGTAGCGTGTCGGAGGACGCGCGACTGGGGCTCAGGGCGCGTGGCGGAGAGGATTGGGCGGGTTCGCCAAAGACCAGCGAGAATGACAGCTCGGTCGGTTCCCGCTGCTGGGCGGCGAGCCGGTGGCTCCGAATCCGAAGGCCGCGAAGCCCGCTCTCGAGTGCACCTGCCTCAGATCGTTGAGGCGCCCGGGCCACCTCCTTCTCCGGCTCTGGGGCTTCCCTCTCGGCACAATCTTCCGGATTGGCCGGTCCGCTATTTGAATGATTAGATCCAAAGGTCTCGATAAACCCATCGTGAAAAAACATGAAATGATGCCAGAGAGGCAGTTTCAGGGCAACACGGGCCGGTGGAATGAAGCATTGGTACTACTTACCAATCCTCTGGGAGGGCGATCTGGTCCAGCCAGCGGAAGATGAACCGGCGCTGCTCCGGGAACAGCAGCGAAGTCTCGGTTAGCCCTGCGTGGGCAGGGAGAGGCGGAAGAGGCCCTGTGGGCGGGGGCCCGGGGCGAGGAGGAAGGGAGGGATGGGTCCGCGGAAGGCGAACCTCGCGGGTGGTGGCCCGGCGGCGGGTCAAGGAAGCCTCGCTGCCCTCGTTCGGGTCGCCCCTTCTTCGCTGGGCGACAGTGGTAAAAGGGTTGGTGGACCCTTGGCGGTTGTCGTTGCCGCTCTGCATTTTGGTTAGTTTGCTGATGGTTGTCTTGACAAACTTGATGCTAGTTTGGCGATTGACAACAGGAATCGGAGACCACAAAATAAAGAATTCAACAGTGACTCACGCAAATTAACTAGCACCAAGAGCCTCTGCTGAAATACGGGGCAATGATGTCGTCGCGGGTCTCTTGTGTGAGTTCAAGATGAAGGCGGCCAATCCCGCGTGAGGATGACTTGGGCAAACAATAACAGTGATGAACTTGAATAGATGACAATCAGATGCGGATCAGGCAGTATTGAATTGCAAGGTATTAAGTCGCAAAATGCGTTGTTGATGCCAGATCTGGGAGAGTTCTCGATGTTAGAGTCTTGGTGTGAGTGTCCCTGAACTGATCCAGGGGTTACAGAACCAGACGAGGCTAAAACGACGCTAGTGGCTGTTTGATCCAATCACTTCAGGGACAAACACGTGGGACGAAGCCACTTTGGCAAGCGGCAGTTGCCGCAGTGGGCATTGCAAGGATATCTTGCCTCAAGCCATCCCAAGATGTGAAACTCGACTTTTTCATCTCTCCACCTCCTCTGGTTAAGAAACAGAGATCATCTCCATCACACTTACCATTCCTCTCTCTCACTCGTGCTTGATCAAGCACAGGTGTCAATGGTATATTTAGTCCCTTTGTATTAGCTAGCTCAAGTAGGTATTCACATAAATTTTTGCAATCCCTGCATCATCACCAACGATGGGACGGACGGCTTTATTATTCAGTTATATCGGACCACCTGTCCGTCCAATTTTTTCACGTGCACTTGCGATGACTATCAAAGTCAGCGCAAGACCAACTTTTCACTCATATTATTGCCAAAATTCATAGTGTCAAGCTTTTATCATAAAAATATGCGTGGCATGTCCTCACGAGCATCCCTGCCTGCTACATAATTTTGTCCCATGACCATCACCTGGGCCTTTAGTACCTATCATACATCCTCTAAGGCCCCTTATTTCTCACCCTCCCCAACCAACCTCGCAACCATTTTCCCATGAATCTGCTTCCAATCATTCTCACACTGCGACTTCACAATCCCCATCAACAACCTTGAGCAACTAATCGTAATTTCCTCCACCAACTCCAACCCCGGCCCCGCCTCACCCTCACCACCCTCATCACCCTCGCCCCCGGATTCTCCAGCACCAGCACCAGCACCAGCAACCTCCCTCACCCGCCAAAACGTCTCCATCACCACCGACAGCGGGCTCCTAATGCGCACAAACCACCCGTCTTCAATATCCGTAATCTCAAAAACGCTCACCACATTGGTGTCCCATATCCCCGCGGGGATGGCATGCACGATGTCCGTGACGCGGTAGCATTCGGGTACCGTTTCCGGCGCCTCGCCCTCGTCTTGGCTTGAGCCGGATGAGCCGGAGCCGGAGCTGGAGTTGGAGCTGGGCTGCGGTCTGGCGCGGAGCTCGGGCTTGACGTGGTCCGGCACGGCCGGGGGCGGGTTGAGCGTGGCGTATTCGGCGCGGGGGATCAGCTCGGCCTTGGTGAGGTGGGGATCGCAGGTGAGGAAGAAGTCGTGGTCGGAGAGGAGGGCGATGGGCTTCGTCGCGGGTTTTGCTCGGGTGGGAGGCGGGTGATGTGAGTTACGGTGGCGGCCGAGATGCAGACAGGGGAGGGGGGTAAGAAATCATGGGTGGGTGTGGAGTGGGAGTCGGAGGGGCTTGCTTGGTGGGAGCTTACATGACATTGTGGGTTTCGTGTTTGATGTTTAGGTAGATTACTTGCTGGAAATGTTGGGCGTTTCTTTAATAAGATATGAGATGCGGAGATAAAGTAATATTTGAGGACGTGTGAGAGTAAATGGCCTAAATACGGAACCAAAATCCTACACAAGAAACCGGCGGTAAGGTTGGGCTGAACACGCTATATATCCCTTGGGCGTCGAATTGTTCATGTCCCATAACTCGGGATATCTGACACAAATCAAGTCTCGGCATGCAGGTTGGCAAGGACCATAAGGTTTTAGCTCAACTAGTCAAAATGCTTGTTTCTTGAACTGGTCAATAAAGTTCAGGCATATGCGGACTAAAAAGGGGTGTGAAACACACAAGCGCCACCAGGAGAATGTCAAAAGTCCGGAACCCTGGCGGCATCACTTACACCACCTAAAGAGTGTATGTATGTAAGGGTTAGGGTTTGCTATGACGCCTCCCCTTGGCCAAAAAAAGCCGAACTCGAAAGGGGAGCAAGAAATCAAGAAAAGAGAAAGAAGTAAAAGAGAACCGAGGAACAGAAGAGATTAAGAAAACCGAGCAAAATACATTAAATAAAAGAAACCGAGTCAAATAAAAAGTACACTTTGGGCTTTCGAATGGCTTTTTTTTGGTTCTCCTCGGCCAAGGTTTCGGCGGCACCTCAACTTGGCGTTCGGCTTTTTTTGGCCAAACAGTGGACGCCCACTCACTAAATCGGTGCCTCGGCCAAGCTTGAGCTTCGGGGCGATGGAACTACCTCGACTTTGACAATTCCGACTGTTCCGAGAGCTGACTGCTCGGGCATGCAACAATGAACACAGTAATTGGGCGACGAAGCGCATACGTGTGTCGGAGCTGTACCCGAAGTTTCCAGAAACAGCTGCGGCGAACCTACGCTAGCACGTCCGCGCAACCAGACATTTACGATGTGGTCTGCGTCGGTGGAGGGCCCGCGGGGCTCAGTCTCTTGACAGCGTTGCGTAAGTATTATTACCTACCAATGTGTCTTCACAATAGCTTTGAGGTATTGGAGCTGGGATATTAACCATTGGTCCTCCAGGCGCAAATCCCGTCACGGCGCATCTCCGAATCGCCCTCGTCGAAGCCCAGGACCTAGCCAAGACCAGATCGTGGAAGCTCCCCGCAAACAAATTTTCCAACCGATGCAGCTCCCTTACGCCGTCGTCCGTTTCATTTCTCGACCAGATCGGGGCATGGTCACATTTGGAGCGAGACAGGGTCCAGGCATACCAGGAGATGCAGGTGTGGGATGGCGTGACCGGAGCGCGGATCGAGTTTGACTGGGCCCAAAGCTCTACACCTGCTGCGGGGACGACAATCGCCTACATGAACGAGAACTTGAACCTCACATCCGGCTTGTTGAAGAGGATAGATGAGCTGGGCGGCGTGTCTGTGTTTGACAAAGCAAAGGTCGAGAGGATAGCGTACGGGGAGGAGACGGAGGAGGTGGATCTACGAGAATGGCCGGTTATTCACCTATCTGGTGGCAAGCAGCTTTCTGCCCGCCTCTTGATCGGTGCGGATGGCGCGAACAGCCCAGTGCGGTCGTTCGCTGGCATCGAAGCTCGCGGTTGGGACTACAACCGTCATGGCGTCGTCGCCACACTTGAGATGGAAGGGGAGGGATGGGGGAGGAGACCACCTCAAGACCGCTTACCAACGCTTCCTCCCCACTGGGCCAGTGGCCATGTTGCCCCTTCCAGGGAATTACTCCACCCTTGTGTGGTCGACGACCCCCGCCAATGCCTCTCGGCTCAAGAGCCTATCGGCCAAGGATTTCATTGCCACGGTGAACGCCGCCTTCCGGCTGAGTCCGACAGACCTCGAGTACATGCATACGCAAGAGTCGGGGCAGGCCGAGGAGTATTCCTGGAGACTGGAACACACTCCCGTCGACCATCGAGCCATTCCCCAAGTGGCCGTGGGAGTCCAGGAAGGCACCGTCGCTTCGTTCCCTCTGAAGCTGCGGCACGCAGATACTTACATCGCGGAGCGGGTGGCTCTAGTTGGGGACGCCGCTCACACCATTCACCCCCTCGCAGGGCAAGGCCTGAATCAGGGGCAGGGTGACGTGCAAAGCCTAGCCAAGGCCATAGAGTACGCCGTCAGGCACGGGCAGGATATCGGCGTCACAATGTCACTAGAGCCGTACGCCTCCGAACGCTACGCGGCGAATCATTTGCTCCTTGGAGTCTGTGACAAGCTCCACAAGCTCTACTCGGTTGGTAGTGGTCCCTTGGTGCCCCTGAGGTCGGTCGGCCTGAACGCTGTCAACGCCCTTAGGCCCCTCAAGTCCTTCTTCATGAACCAGGCCGCCGGAAACGGGATCAAGGTCTTCTAACGGCCGGGTTGCTCATGCTCCACCTGCCGCGTGGACTTGTCCTACTCTTGACCCCTTGTTGTACAGATTTGTTTGCACCATGTATCATATACTTATTCCCCGAGATGTTAGGCATTGACGGATCCGAATGGAATACAAGAAGTGGAGGGATTTTGCGCTCCTTCTTGAAAGCTCCCACCGGGTTCTTCCGGGCCATCAATATCGTACGAGGCGGATGGGATGACTTGTCACGGGGCCTACCCGTTTGGCTCAACAGAATGCTTCGCTTGCCCATTTGACTCCTCTTTGGTTTCTCCTTTCCGTGCCGTTCCTTTATTCTTCAGCCCATGACTCATTTGATTACCCGGTTACACGAGCTATAGATCACGCCAGTCAAGGAGATTTGGTTCTGACCTCAGATTGCCATGGCCCCTTATTGGCTTGGGCTGCTGAAGTAAACAAGGAGCAGTTGCCAGTGCAAAGCTTCTTATTCAGATCAACTTGAGATGCTCCTTTACTACCCCCTCTCCCCATCTGAGGCTCCGCTCACACAAAGCTGTGTGTCTTCACCATTTCTAAGACCGAAAGGGTGTGAACATGATACGGTCTTTTATGGCCCTCGATTAATCCCGAGAGTGTTGGCCGTGTAATCAAGGCCAGCTGGGGAAACCAGCTGCGTAGTTTTGAAATGTAGCTGTTGTGCCAGAGTTCATGCTAGTGCCTTCCAGCAGGCTTCTTTCTCACTTAACATCCCTCTTTCTCCTATCCACTTTTGTATTTCTTTCCACCTCCTACCTTCGCAAAATTTCACAGCTCGACCGTAACTTAACCACTCACTTGGGCTAACCTTCACAGCGAATCTCTCTAATCCACCTCTAACTGGTGAGGTCTCACCATCCTGGTGCGTGACCAACCAGTGGTATCAGAGAGTAAGACAGCCCGGTCAAGCAGACCGGTCTCCCAGCGGCTCGGGTCATCCACGAGCTCAACCAAACAAGCTTGCCGCTGCGGTGGTGGGCATAACCCTGGGTGCGTGGCTCTGGCGGTGCTTGGAGGCAGGTACGTTCTTTGGTGTGACAGAGACGCAAACATGTTATACTTGGTTTCCGCTTCCCTGGCCCCTATTTCTATTTTTCACGTTTTCGATCTCTTCATCTTGAATATTGTCAGCTCCCAGATGCTGTGTGAGCTGGGCCCGACTTATAAGCGGAGGATTTCTCGTTATTTTGTGCACATACCCCTTAGTTGCATCCCAACCTGTCGCTATTGTGGTCGGTTTATGCCACGCCGAGATCGTCACAATAGTAACCGGCGAGCTACGAATAGAGCACCTTGCTGCCTGGGAGCACCCCCCTTTGGCTATTCAAACTGCCTACTTCAAGACTTGTTCCTCTTTCTGCTTCCGCTACCCATCTTCCTCCTTCTAACTTTGACACCACCAGGGTCCGAACTTAACGAGCACTCACTCACATCACCTTGCCAACTACCAGCCAACTACCAGCCAGCTACCAGCCAGGATGTGCTACGAAGAGTTCATCGCCTACCAGTGCGGCCATCGTTCTTTGGGCGTGGTGCGACCCTGCCCCATGACGACGGCCGGCCACAACTTTCCAATCTGCGGCCTCCCACCTCACAAGCCGCATTATGCGGAGACCATGTGTACACCCTGCGAGAGGCAGCTACATTCTCGCTGGGTCTTGATCAGAGAGTGGGAGCATCGCTGGCTTCATGAGCGTGGCGCCTGTGGCTGCGAGGTCATCTTCCCAGGCCTCCTAACCACTCCTCGCGTCATCGGCCACACATCAGTTGCTGAAAGCCCGGCTTCAAGTTCAAAAACTGGCCCAGCGTACCATATAGCCGCCGCAAACGATAGGGACGCTACGCCGAACCTCATTGCTACGACCGCAAGCTCCAAGGAAAGCCAGGGACAAACTGAGCAAGGTGGCCCCGTGGATACAGCCTCTTCTGCCGCGGCCGGCCAAATTCCGGCCCTCTTCGCAGAGGGTGTTACCTCGACAGGCGAGCATCGCGTTGCCGTTCGGCTCCCTGGACTCTACGCGGCCGAGTGGAAGTCCGACCACGCTGCCCTCCACAAAGCCGGAAAGTGTACATGTGCGGCGACCTTCACCCCTTACAAGCCACAGGTCAGCGATGCCGAGCTCACAGATCACGACCGAGACAACCTGTCTCAGTGGCGCCGGCGGGAGATTGAAGGGGAGAAGAACGACGACGCCCGTAGCATCGAGGGCCAAGCTGGGGAGACGATAAAGCGTATCGCCGAGATCAAGGCGGCATTTGGGGATTTTGAAGTTGAGGAAGAAGAGAAACCGCCCAAGGCCAAGGTGCCTCGCCTCCCTCCTCCGGCCGCCGCAGAAAGTCAAACAGCCAAAGTCAGGGGCCAAGGTCAGGGGAACAATAGCAACAATAACAACAACCCCCGTCACTTCAACCGCCGCCCCGAGAACCGCCGCGAGAGAAACCTCCCATCGCGTCCCCAGTCCCAGTCCACTCGACGTGGCTCAGCCTCGCCCCCAACCCACGGCCAACTTATCGTCTCCTCCCCTCCGACCAGCCAACCCTTGCCCCAGGCAGCCACAACCGCACTAGCCATACCCATGCCAACCAGCGGCGGCTACCTCTACCCCGAATACCCACACCACCAGCAACAACACCCGCAGTATTTTGTACCTGCCCACCCAGCCTACGCTACGGCCGCGACTTACAACGACGCCATTCCCGAGGGCGCCTTCCCCTGGGCCGCTGCGCCCCAGGCTACGCCGGGCATGCCGTGGGTGACACAGGGTCCCGGACCCTACCGCACACCAGGGTTGGTGCATGCCAGGAGTGATGCTGGTGCTGGAGCTCAGGGTGGGGGGTACACTCACCACCATTCGCATCACCATCCCAATCAGGCCTATGGGTATGGACAGGGTTATGGACATGGCAACGGCCATGGCTACGGCAGGGGTTACCACAACCCCCGGTCCCGCGGCGAGCGGCAGCTCGCGGCGCTGGAGGGGCCCAGGCAAGGACAGATACAGGAACTGGAGGCGGAAGAGGATAGAGGCAGGGGTGGATGGAAGGGCGTCGACTCTTACTCGCACCAGCAACAGCAACAGCAACAGCAACAGCAACAGCAACAGCAACAGCAACAGCAACAGCAACAGCAACAGCAACAGCAACAGCAACAGCAACAGCAACAGCAACAGCAACAGCAACAGCAGCACCATCCGCATGGCACCAGAGCCACCCGCCCCGAGCACCTCCTTCCCGTCTGCGGCTTGCCCATTGGTGCCGGGCCTGAGGGCACGTCGCACATGCCGGACTGGCTGGACTGTCCGCTGCGGCGGAGCGCGAGTGTCGGGGCGACGGCGGCGGCGGCGGGTTTGGTTACGGATATGGATACGGATATGGATACGGATGGGGGTAGTGGTAGTGGTGGTGGAAGCAGTTCTCGGACGTGCTCGTCAACCTCAAAGGCGTCCACTACAGCGGTACGGCGACTCGACCCAGCTTCATGAGCTTGTACGGAA